CAAATCCTGCACACTTACTCCAAATCAGCATTTAACAAAGTCACGTTTCAATTGTTTGTTTTTTTGACACTAAAACATCAATCTCCAGTTAGAATAACCTACAGTTATTCTAATCATTTTAATAACAGGTTGTAAGCTTGCGTAATGTGAGTGTATTATTGCGGAGTTAGTTCTCAAAGTTGCTCTTCCTGTTTGTGGACCAGGCTCGTGCACAGACCTTGTAAAATGATTAACTTAATGATGCTATTAGAGCCACTCTAATTGGCCGTTGATCACAGCCCGGGAGTATTTACCAGCCTGTCACATCCAACTCTGCCAATTGCCAGCTGATGTCAAATTATGTTGATATAAATGATATGTGTAATTTAATTAAACTTTTACCAGTCGGAAGTTATGGGGCCCCACACACACATGTACTCAGACTTCCTCGTTTCAGTCCGTAGACGAGTTCATGTAAATACTGACATGTTGTATTGTCAAACTCAACATTTTCTGGACAACATACACCGTAAATAACCTAGTATAATTTGTCTTGGTGTTATAAGGACACAGGAGTCAAAATATAGCTCTTTAATTCTTTTATTTATCGTTGATTCTTAATTTTTTTTTACGTTTTTGAAAGAAATTTTAAAACCCTCCCGTGCCCCCCAAAAAATAATGAAAAGTAACGAACAGAAAGGTGGACCTGGCGAGTCGGCCAAACAGAGCAAAAGGTGCGACACCGGGCCAACCCCGTACAGGGCCGCAGACGCCGGTACCAGCACCAGTAACTAAAGACAAGAAAAAACCCAAACAAACCTGAACCCAAAAGAAAAGCGCGCCACGTTCAAACAGCCGTACTTATAGACTCTGCACAGTCACGCACAAATAAACCATAAACAAAAATTACAACACTTAATACAAAAGGGAACAAAAACAACTAATGATCCGAATCAACACTTGGTTAAAACCTCTTGGGACATTTTTAATTCTTATTTTTTATATCGCACTCTATTTTTTTGTTGTTAACCATTAACTTTCACGTTTACATTTAGGGTTTATTTCCGGTTAGTGTAAAAACGTTTAATTAGCTTGACATTAAGAACAGAATGTTACACGGAGCAAATGTATACATATATATTTTTTGATATTTTATATGTCTTTGTGTAGCTTCCCCTCTGAAGAGGCACAAAGGTATATTATTGATTTTAATATTTCTTTTGAATAACTTTGTGTTTCTGGCTGTTATCTTTGTTGATCAAGGTAAATGTAAATAATAATCAAACTTGCGTTGAGTTTTGTGTATGCGTATTTACACAATGTATTATGTATTCCTTTTTAGCTCTTATTTATTTATTATTTATTGCCATTAAACTAAAAAATCACCAGTTCAAGTGCAGTCTTCATTCAGAGGGATACACTACATACACTATATACACAAGTCAAACCTTTTTCTTTATGTTTACCACTTTTTACATTTTACATATATATGGAATTACTTCGCAAAGAAAAAAAAGTAAAAAACTCAACTATATATATTTTTTTTTAAATTTTGGTTTTCTAATATTATTTCCAAAAAAAGGCAAGGCAAATTTATATTGTATAGCACAATTCTTACACGCAGTAATTCAAAATGCTTTACAGAATAAAAAAGACATTAAAATCACAATAAAAACAGATCAGAACACAAATAATCATCATAAAATCAACATTGAAGAGAAGAGTATGGAATAAAGGTTCTTTTTAACAGACCAGTGTGTTGTTTCAGGATAATAAAGTAATCTATCTATCTATCTATCTGTCTATCTATCATGACACAAGTGCATGTAAACAACACACTGGTCTGTTAAAAAGAACCTTTACTCCATACTCTTCTCTTCAGTGTAGATTTTATGATGATTATTTATGTTTTGATTTGTTTGTGTTGTGATTTTAATGCCTTTCGTATTCTGTAAAGCATTTTGAATTACTGTGTGTAAGAATAAGTATGTTTATATTTTATATTCAAATGAATTTCTATGCTTGTTCCTTTCGCTGTTACATATATGTGTGAATTGGGATTTTTTTGTGCTCACAAAAATGAAGCTAAAGCACAGAAACAGACTGAATCCTGCTCCTGATCTGTTGTTTTGCTCTCCTCCTGCACCCAGACTAGAATGTGCTACAAAAACACAGACAAGTCCACATCTCTTTAGAAATACTGAAATGTTAAGACATGTTTTGTATAATTTCTTATCTTTTTGTAATTATTTTATTGACTGTTTTGTTCCAGTATTGCTGCTTCAATTGAATGTTGAAAAGAAAAAGAAACAGGATACATTTAATGTCCAAATAGGCGACTTATGGATCCTTTTATTGGTTTTTCATTGTTTAAAACTTGAGTCATGGTAATTGTTCAGAGAGACACAATCACTCAGTCAACAAGTAAGTAAGTCTTTATTTATATAGCGCTTTTCACAGACATTTTTGTCACAAAGAGGCTTTACAGAGCATTATTCAGCATTATTCTTTCACTCTATACCTGGTGATGGTAAACTACTGTTGTAGCCACAGTTGCCCTGGGGCAGACTGACAGAAGCGCGGCTGCCATGCCAATCATGCCGACCACCACCATCACACATACCACTTTCATACTAGGCAATGTGGGTGAAGTGCCTTGCCTAAGGACACAATGATTGAACTGATCGTGACTATCAGTTGTTCTTGGAGACCTGGAGCGTGTTTTGGGTTGATGGGGGAAACCGGAGCAGCCAGGAGGAAACCCATCCAGACACGGGAGAAACATGCAAACTCCACACACAATAAAATATTCTCATTAATGTTCAATAATGGTCAAATCCACCTTTATTTTGTGATTTACGGATAATGTCTGTTGACGTTAGGTTTTAAAACATGGGTCCCCAGAAAAAAGTTTGGGAAACACTGCTCCACACGATACAACAATCTTAAAAAAGTTAAAAGAAAATCCAATTAAATACTATCCACTTCTCTGCCAGTGGAGTCATTTTTTATTTTTAAAGCATAATTGTTCACTTCTCTGTACTTCTGTGTGTACACAAGAGCATGTAAACTGGTCTGTTAAAAAGAAGCTTTGGTTGTAAATATTTATGTTTTATATTCAAATTCACTCAGTACCCACGCTTTGCTTTGTTGACAGCGCTGGAAACTCTTGACCTTCTCTCAATGAACTTCCTGATAAAGTCTCCTGAAGTGGTTTTCACTTCACAGCTGTGCCATATCTGGGTCAAGAATTGCAGGGTTTTAGACTTCACAACATTCTATTCGCCAATAACAGATGTTGGACCCGCAAGTCGGAACTTGGACTCGAGTCACTATTTTTAGGACTTGAAACCTGACTTAATAAAATGGAGTAAGACTTGGGACTCGACTTGGTCTTGAAGGTCAGTGACTTGGGACTTGACTCGGACTTGAGGCCGACGAGAAAACTTGAGAAGCACTTATAAATGTGAATTCTTTCTATTCTGACCATAATGTTTCACCCTAAGATCCTGTTAAGACATTTAAAAAGGAAAGTTTTAACATTATTATTAGTTTGTACGACCATAAACGAAACAAAAAAAAGATAAGAACTAGGAAGAAAGTGATTGTGTTTCTGGTAGAGGTTTTGGTTTGTGGAACAATCGGAGTTATGATTTTTTTAAACAGTCCAACACTGTAGAAACCTTTTAAAAAGAGTATAGAGTGTCGTGTTCTGGAAAATACAGAGCTCTGGAGTTGAGAAATTGTGCATTGAGTTTTGTTTGTTTTAATTTATATTTTGTCTCCTATATGTCTAGTGAGTGGAGTTGTGAATGCAAATTTAAAAAAAAGAATAAATAAATAAATAAAAAGGAAAAAATTACTAAATTAATTTCTACAACTCTTATATACTCTATAAATACAAATTTTTTAAGTGCAATTTATCTTAAAAGTCAAAGAAATTGCAAAAATCTAAGCTATATTTGGTATTTTGGTTTAAAGACTTGAAGCTCAAAGCAGACGACTTGGACTTGACTTGGAGTTCTGGGCCAGTGACTTGAGACTTGACTTGGACTTGCCTGTCTTTGACATGGAACTTGACATGGACTTGAGGTGAAAGACTTGAGACTTGGAAAACAAAGACTTGGTCCCACCTCTGGCCAATAAAATTTCATACAAATAGGCGAGTTTCATTGTTGACAAAAGCGCGCGTTGCATGCTGGGAATTATTCTGGTCGGCGGCAAGAAACACTAATTCAACATGACGGACAGAGCGAGAAAGCACGTAAAGGGTATTGATCCCGGTTATTTATCCACTCTAACGGCAGAGGACCCAAGACCATTTGACCAGAAATTGGTCATAAGCATCGATGGAGCCAAATCACCCTTTTCAACCCCGACAAAAGGTGGACCAAACCAAATTTCTGATCAGAATCGCCAACTACCTGGACAAATATTCACTTTGGCGATATCCACAATGACTTGGTGGAAACTCCTGGGCCATTCACAGCAGAAAAGATGAAAACCTCCAAGAGTCTCGATGTGTCGTTGAACTTGTTGGAGTCCACGGTTTGTTAGGATCTTCTACGTTTGCTCTGCGGATGTTTGAAAGCCGTTTAATTCACCGTTAGTGGTTCTTTTCACTCAGAATACGAAAAAGACTTTTTCCTTCTTCCGTGCTTCTATTTGTGCATCCGATAATGCAGCAGGAATTTACCATTATCGGGGATAAATACGCGATTTTACGCACTGTGTTTGACCGCTACCGTGTTTCTTGCCTCCGACCAAAATATTTCCCAGCATGCAACGCGGGCTTTTAAAAACAATGACGTCAGCTGAAACTCGCATATTGGACGCTTAAAATAAATACTGTTAAAATGCTGCTTTTGTTGTAATAAAGTGACTAATACGATGTAATTAATAAATCTCTTGTCCCTTGTCTGGAAGCAGGACATCATCAGATCATTAAATCTGAAAACTACCAGTTCCCAAAGCCTTAACTTTAGCTGTAGAGTCACTTTAATACTCTTTTCTTTGTCCAGGTGGTGCGCGCTTCGTCTTACACCAACGAGGGCATCCCGGAGGTGTGGGCCAAGATGGAGCTGTACAGAGACACCATGTTGTCCAGCGGGGAGCTCCAGGCCCGGAGACAGGCCCAGCAGAGGGTCTGGATGTGGAACCTGATCCAAGAAAACGTACTGTCCCACTTCCAGACGCACCCTGCCGTGAGAGAGGCCCTGCCCCGTCTGGAGGAGAGGGTCACGAGGGGGGCCATCTCTCCGGGACTGGCCGCTGATCTGCTGCTCAAAGCCTTCGCGTCGTCGTAGGAGTCCAGGGTGGTGGAGGTTGAGCTACACTGCCAGTCAAAAGTTCTGACACACACTTCTTTATTTCCGTGATTATTTGCATTGTAGATTCTCACTGAAGGCATTAAAACTATGAATCAACACGTAAACACAAAAATGAAGCAAAAATAACTCAAAACTTCTTTCAGATTTTAGATTTTTGTAAATACCCACCCTTTGCTTTGATCACTGCTTTGCACTTTTGGCATTTCTTGAACCAGACAAGACGCAGTAGTGAAGAGAAAAGCATTTATCATGAAGCTCACTGAGAGAAGGCCAAGAGTTTGCTAGCCTGATTCATCAGACGGTTTTACTTTGTAGAAACTGTCTGACCTCGCAGCATTACGATTCGTTAGGCGGGTACTTTTTTTATTTAACCAATCGCTGCTATTTGATCGTGACGTATGTAATGCTCCAAATTCCGTAGGAAGAAGGACAATAACGTCTTTCTTCTTGATAAAATTCACCAGACATTCTCTTTGTTCCGGCTTTAAATCCTCGATCTCGGGAATCGTTGCCAACACAGAATGTCTGTCTTTGTCTACATCCATCTTGACGTTTTGTTTACTGTTGTGCTGTTCCACAAAAGGGAACCAGACAGACGCTTGAGTTTGACGTCATGGCTTCACAGCTCTTCGCCGATTGGCCAGTGCACGATCTACAACTTCCGGGGTTCTTGCAAACTGTCTAGTGTATTCCGATTCCTGATCCTAGTCGTTGGAGAGAAATGAAACTGAGCGGAGACACTAGGTGACAAGCCTGATTCATCTTCGTTTCACTTCGTACAGACCGTCTGACCTCGTAGCCTTAGATTTCATTCGCTCGACGGTAGGTGGGTACTTATCATTTAACCAATTGCTGATATTTCATCGTGTTGTATGTAATGTGCCGCTTACAGGGCTAACTGGTATATTAAGTTTTTCCCAAATCCCGTAGGAAGAAGGGCGATAACGTCTTTCTCCTTGATGAAATTCACCAAACATTCTCTTTGTTTCGGCTTTAAATCCTCGATCTCGGGAATCTTGACAACACTGAATATATGACCCTTCGCTGATTGACTGGTGCCCGAACTCGCACTTCCGGGGTTTTTGCAAACCATCTATTTTATTTTGATTCCTGATCTAGTCGCTGGAGAGAAATGAAATTGAGCGGAGACATTAGGTGACACCAGCCTGACTAAGAGTTTGCAGCACTGTCAGAGAAACAAAGGGTGGATACTTCAGGATTTGGATATAAAATATAAAAATTCTGTTATATAACTTTTTTTCTACATAATTCCATATCTTGCTTCATGTATTTGATGCCTTCTGTTTGTATATAAAATGTAAACATAAAGAAAAAAACCACTGAACGAGAGGGTGCGTCCAAACTTTTGACTGGTAGTGTATGAATGGACACTGCCAAACGGACAGATACGGATCTCTGTAGGTTTTTTTTTTCAAATTTCACTGGAACAATCTCTGAACTGGACATAATATTCCGATTTCTGTTTGAATTATCTGCTCGGTTTAACAAGGACCATGTTGGACGTTGAGATGGAAAAATCACATGACAAACATTACCTCTGTTGTTTTATTTAAGCATGATAAGAAATGTTGTTATTTGAAGTGAAACCCGTTTATGGAGTCTCAGTGTGATCCATAAACTTTCTAACTTTGTCGTCGAACATTCATGTATTGGGTTCAAATCCACAACAACAACAAAATATTAACGCTTTTGATAATGAATAATGACTGTTGTGATACAATAATACACTGGAATGAGGCTTATCAAACCGGTGCTTTTTAAATATTATAATTTAAAGCTTCCATATTACGCAAAATTGACTCTTGTGAGATTTAAACCATGTTATAATGTTGTCTCCTCTTCAAAAACACACTTCGAGTTGTGTTTTTGTTTCATTCATTCACTCCTGTTTGAGTAATCCTGGTTTATTAGTCTGTCTACATCTCCAAAATCTGAAAATGCTCTGTTCCACTTTGTGATGAAGCGTTTGTTTTCAACTACAACCTTTGTTTTGTAGAGATGGGCAATTCCAGGGCTGAAATTATCCCGTGTGTTTTCTGTTTGAGAGAAGAACTCAGCCTGAATACGCAGAGTTTGTGTGTCAAACATGAGTGAATGAAACAAAACACAACTCAAGGTCTGTTTGTGACGAGGAAACAACATTACAACATAGATGAGAAAATGTATAGGCTGCAATACAGGCAGTTTAAATACACACAAGAAAAAATTTGTTTACAACATAATGTAAGTTCATAACATTAAATCTACGCAATATCATGATATAAAATGAAAACTGAATTGTAAACTATTTTTGTCTTCACTGTTTTTGTCATGGAGCTTTGTAAATTCAATGAAAGTTTTGGAAAAGTCATGGAACTTTATTACCTCTTTCACACAACTACAGCGTTTTGTTAAGTTCTCATTTGACTATTATAATTATTTATGAACAAAAAAAGAGACAATAATAAATGCACTGACAATATTTTGAAAGTTAAAAGGACAGTTCGGCATTCTGGACATAGGACTTCATTTCCTAGTGAGCCACAGTGTTGGAGACGTGTGGAGACACTTTTTTAAATATTCCATCCAGTCCTTTGTATTTGCAGAGGTCACTGGTGCTAGACTAGCGCATGTCAATGGCCATAGTTTATCCTGCCACTAAAAACAGTCTTACCCACTCCACAAAACACCAGAAACAAATCTATTATTACACCAGACTGTCCATGTGAATGTCTGTGTTGATAGAATAATGTTTGAAATAAAACTAACCTTGTATTTGAAGGATTTATGTCTGAGCAGCAGCGAGTTTTACTTCCTGAGAGAAAGCTCAGCAGCGGCGGACTGATATATGAGAAAATAGTCCCTCAACACGCGAAGATTCATGCGATTCAAGGTTAGTTTTATTTCAAACATTATTCTATCAACACAGACATTTACATCGACAGTCTGGTGTAATAATAGATTTGTTTCGGGTGTTTTGTGGAGTGGGTAAGACTGTTTTTAGTGGCAGGATAAACTATGGCCATTGACATGCGCTAGCCTAGCACCAGTGACCTCTGCAAATACAAGGACTGGATGGAATATTTAAAAAAGTGTCTCCATCACTCTGACTCACTAGGAAATGAGGTCCAAAATTCCAAACTTTTCCTAAAAAACTAATACCAAACCATAAGGTGAGTGGAAAGGGTTAACATTTTATATTTAGTCCTAAAAATATGATTAGTTCTACACATGTAGTGATGGAAAATTCACTTTAGGTCATGAAAAATCATGGAAAAGTTTTGAAATTTTGTCAGTGAAAAAGAGAGGGAACCCTGGTCATATTATAATTGAGTATATTTCTGTTTAATGCCGCTCTAAGCTCAAATACAGACCTCACTTACTTACCTCACCCACTCCTCCAATACATGCATCACAAATTTCAAACTTCCGGTCATTGCGCAATGCATACTGGGAAGGAGTTTCCTGAAAAAGTGAGCATCAAACCGCCATGTTTGTTTTCCCCCTGAGATGAGTACTTGAAAATGATGGAGACTGACCAATGCATGCATCATGAATTTCGTACTTCCACTGAGATGAGTCTATTGTCAAAGCCGATCTTTTCAATTCTTTTGAACCATATCACTTTTGTTTCTGGTTCTGATATTGTCATATTTTAGTTTTGTGATTCAGACATCGTTAATTGTGTGGTTGTTGGATGTCCCAACAGCGGAAAACGGCTCGAGAAATTTGTTTGCGAACTTCATTACTGCAAAAGGGAATCAGACGTGTGTGACTGCAAACCTCCGTTCAAACTGTTTCCCTTCCCAACGGAATTGAAAAACAGTGAAAGGCGAAGGCGATGGGCAGAATTGATCCACAGGAAGGACGAAACTGCCTAAGAAATCATCCCGAGTTTGCAGCGAACATTTTGTATGTGGAGCGCCATCAAAGCAAAACCCCAATCCCTCGCTCAACCTTGGATACAAATTTAAAAAGTCAACGCCAAAGCGAAAGGCACCAGCTGTTCGCAAAGAAACAACTTCAACTGCAAAGAGACCAAAACGTGATGTTGCTGTAAAGTCGAACAAGTGCGAGCTCGGCCTGTTTGTCTTCTGTACTTCTCGCTTAACAAACGGGATCTCGCTTTGATGTCGCTCCACATACAAAATGTTCCTTGCAAACTCGGAATGATTTAGGCAGTCAAAGGTTACCATTTTCATCCTTCCTGTGGATCAATACTGCCCATCGCCTTAACTGTTTTCAATTCCGTTGGGAAGGGAAACAGTTTGAACAGAGGTTTGCAGTCACACACATCTGATTCCCTTTTGCATTTATGGAGTTCGCAAACTTCCGAAGCCCATTTCTTGACTCGTTTTTCGCTGTTAGGACATCCAACAACCACACAATTACGATGTACGAATTCCAAAACTAAAATATGACAATATCAGAACCAGAAACAAAAGCGATATGGTTCAAAAGATTGAAAAGATAGACGCATTCCACTGGGAAAACAAACATGGTGATTTGATGCTCACTTTTTCGTAAAATCCTTCTCAGTATGCATTGCGCAATGACCGGACATCCAAAATTCGTAATGCATGTATTAGTCAGTCTCAATCATTTTCAAACCTCGATGAGCTTCATTTGACTGGACAAACGCTATGTCCAGTCAACTTAGGCTGCGTTCAGACTGCAGCCTGAAGTGACCCAAATCTGATTTTTTGGCTTCTATGTGACCTGTATCTGATCTTTTAATGACAGTCTGAACGGCACAGATCCGATTTTTTCAAATGCGACCCAGGACACTTGGATATGTGCTCCTGAAACCGATACATATCCGATCTTTTAACATGCGACTTCAGTGTGAACGGACAAAGTGCATTCATCCGACCTACACATTATCAACAAGCCACAAACGTCACTATTCTGCGCTGAAGTAGGTGAGAATTGTTAATGTTGTAACTCCGTGTCACTGAAGCGAAGCACATCGCCACTCATCACTCTTGGCTCCGTCTCCACATCCACACGTTCCTTTCAACGGACTGTCCCACAAAACGCCACGGCCAAAAAACCTCATCCTTCTCCTTCTCAATCTCCTCCTTAAAACAAGTAAGTTGTTCATGTTCTGGCTCCGGTACGAGAGGAACTTTAAAATCTCCAGGTGCTCAATGCTTGTGTCCATGTTTGGACAACTTCCGTAAACACAGAGCACGCTCGCTGCGGTTGACGTCATCGTGTCTCCAGTGCACATGCGGGACACTTTCGGGCCGTTTACTGTTCACACAGGGGATCGCATACAAGTCGCATTTAATTGGAAATGTGAACGACATCGCAAAAACATCGGATTTCACAAAAAAATCGGAATTGAGCGTTAAGCCCTGCAGTCTGAACGTAGTCTTATTCCACCTCTTTATACAGTCTATGTCGTGAATCCATTTTTGTCACTGCGTATTTCAATCAACCCCGTCTCTGGCCCGTATTCACAGAGATCGCTTTACATGACATGGAAGAAAATGAATTGACTTTATCGTGATTTCCACCCAGCCTGATAGCAGACAAATTGGAACACACTGTCTGAACGGCACATCTGAATGTCTGAGTGTATTATATTCAGAGTGGGATAATGTATTAAGAGAATGATCTTTATCAGACAAGTGTTGAATATTAAACCTGCCACTGCTCCCCTCTCTCTTGTTTGCACTTGAGATGAAGAATGGTCAGTGATTAATGTAACCTCTCCGAACACGGATGGTGGCATTTGTTTTTGCACCTGTAGTCTCCAAATGTCACTACAGGATATCTTCTCAATTATTCATCTACAAATTAACTTAAAGGGCCCGTATTACTCTATTTTCTGACTAGTTATAATGTTGTTTCCTCATTAGAAACAGATCTGGAGTTGTGTTTTGTTTCATTCACACGTGTTTAACTCACAAATCTTGCACATTTAGACTAAGTTCTTCTCTCAAACCAAAAATGCTCCACCTTTAGTATTGTAATTGAACTGTAATAGCTTTTTTATTTTTTATTTATGATTATTAACACGATCTGGATCCATTGATTACTGCCCAAACCATTACATTTTAGCTTATTCACATAAACTGAAGCAAAAGGAGCTCAAAATTGCAAGTATCATCTTAAAGGTCTTATATTACAAAAAATGATTGATGATTCTCAAGTTACTTCAAAACTGTAATGTGTTATTTATGACTTGTTACTGTCATTTCAAAGTAATCAGTTACATTACAATATTACTGTGTTTAAAACGTACGGCATTGCACGACTATCGCAGCACTTTTAAGTTACTCTTGCCAAAATAACTGGAAATATGGATTTGGCGATCGAAATGTAGCTCATCACACATCCTTTTTCACTAACAAAATTTCAAAATATTTTCATGATTTTTTTCATGACCTAAAGTGAATTTTCCATGACTTTACAGCACCTACATGTGCAGAATTGATCAGACTTTTAGAGCTAAATATGAAATGTGAACTCTTTCCACTCACCTTGTGGTTTGATATTATAGTTTTTTAACATTCAAAATACTGTCAGCGCATGTATTGTCGTCTCTTTCAAACAAAAGGCGCAGACGTTCAGAAATAATCATAATAGTTTAATGATAACTTAACAGAACACTGTAATTGTGTGAAAGAGATACTAAAATTCCATGACTTTTCTAAAACTTTTATTGAATTTACAAAATCCAGGCTTAGAAAATGACATTTTTAATTTGCATGACTTTTCCAGGATTTCCGTGACCGTGGGAACCCTGAGTGGAAGATGTGTGAAGAATCCCTCAGTCGTCCAGGTAGAATCCATGGCGAGGAGAAGAGGAGAAAATTCAATTGGAGTGGAAGATGATGAGATGATTTTAGCAAATTTGTATGAAGAAAAACAAAAACAAAAAAACACCACTTCAGTCCAGGTTAAAAATGCATTGTAACTGACATTGTTGCTGACATTTGTACCAAGTAAAATATTACCTTTTTCTCTGTAATGCCTTACATTATTAGCCTGATTCATCAGCCGGTTTCACTTCGTAGAAACCGTCTGACCTCACAGCGTTAGAATTCGTTCGCTTGACTGTAGGCAGTACTTTTTTTATTTAACCAATCACTGCTATTGGTTGTGACGTATGTAATGCGCCAAATCCCGTAGGAAGAAGGGCAATAACGTCGTTCCTCTTGATAAAATTCACCAAACATTCTCTTTGTTCTGGCTTTAAATCCTCGATCTCGGGAATCTTTGCCAACACAGAATGTATGGCTCTTGGCTCTGGTTGGCTGCCTGGACTCGCACTTTTGGGGTTTTTGTGAACCGTCTTAGTGTTTTCCG